AGCAATACTTAGACCCCCAGATTAACAATAGGCAGCAAATCATGAACATCATACAAGAAATGTATGGTCCAGGCTTGAGAAGGCCAAATAGACCAACGTTTAGGTGTCCTTATCCTCCATGGATAAAAACAACCCCCATTCCAAGAAATTATAGGATTCCTGAATTTGCTTTATTTACAGGAGAGAAAGAGAGACAATCAACCATAGAGCATGCAGGCAGGTTCATACTCTAGTGTGGAGAACTTAGCTATGATAACAATTTAAAATTAAAACTCTTTCCTCATTCTCTGTCGAAAGTGGCATTCACATGGTTTATTAACTTGCCAAAAAATTCTGTTCATACTTGGCAAGAATAGAGAGTCAGTTTCATGCCCAGTTCTTCAGAACTGAGCCTGAAGTGACGATAGTGGATTTGTCAAAATTTAAACAAAGCCAAGAAGAAAGTGCAGAACAATACATCGATAGGTTTAAGAAAGCAAAAAACAGATGTCATGTGTATATGCCTGAAATAGAAGTTATAAGACTAGCTTAGAATGGTTTAGATTTTGAACTTAGGAAAAAATTTGAAGACATGATGTTTAGGGACCTATTTGAGTTGTCTTCAAGGGAAACTAGTTATGAGGCCATTCTCAGAGAAGAACAACAGAGAAGTGCAGCCTCATTAGGGACTTATTACCAAGAGGTTGAGTTTGACATGGATATCGACATAGATGTTGCTCAAGTAATAGGTAAAAAACTTGTGGTTTGTGAAACATTAAGGAAAGCTGACAAACCTATGAGCATGCCCGCAACACAGCCAACCAAAAAGAATGTAGCTGTGTCACATAGGTAGTACTCTTTTGACTTATCAAAAGTAGATGCATTATTCGATGAGTTGTTAGCAAACAAGTTTTTAACTTTGATTCCTCGCTACAACATTACCAAAGAAGGGACAAGGTTGGCAATGACAAACCTATGAGCATGCCCGCAACACAGCCAACCAAAAAGAATGTAGCTGTGTCACATAGGTAGTACTCTTTTGACTTATCAAAAGTAGATGCATTATTCGATGAGTTGTTAGCAAACAAGTTTTTAACTTTGATTCCTCGCTACAACATTACCAAAGAAAGGGACAAGGTTGGCAATGAGTACTGTAAGTGGCATAATTCTTTCAAGCATTCTACTAATAATTGTGTTACGTTTCAAAATTGTGTGCATGACTTAATTAAAAAAGGAATGTTGAAATATGCTGAAAAAGATAAAGGGGTCATGGCAGTCGACAGGGACCCATTCCTAAGCATGGTGGAAATCAATATGGTAGCAACTGACTTACAATTGAATGATCAAAAGAAGGAGGGGAAAAACCCTAGAGTTCTCTTGGTAGAGTTAGAAAAGCTTCACAAAGACAGAATGGAGAAGATGGCAAAAGAAACAAAAGGGAAAAAAGTCCAGGAAGAACCTAGCAAGAGGTTCATTTGTTTCAGATGTGGTACTGAGAAAGAAAAAACCAAGGCCATTGTGATTGATGGAATTCAAAAAATTGGAAAGAATGTTGGCCTGAGGTTCAACACTATGGGTAGTGGTAACCTGCAGATTTTCGACAATGAGTGTCTGTTCTATGATGGGATAGACCCAGGAATATTTGGTCCTGCAGAGAACTAAGGTAAGGATGATGCTCCGTTCTTGTTCCAAGGAGCTTTTGTTTATCCATGCTTTGGTGGATCAAGTAACGTGAGGGCTATGCTCAAACAACACAAGGGTTTTAAGCCCTATGAAATTATCCACCCAAAAAAACAGACTGGAAGGCCATATGGGGGGCAACAATAGTTTGTGAGACCATTTGGGGGATTTCAACAGCAGTATCATGGCTGTGATAACCCTGTTCCGTATTATGCTAATCGGTCCTTATTATGAATGTGATTATGTGTCTGATATGATTGGGTGTGCTATTTATATGAATATATGTGGTTTTGAATTTCTATCTGTTCACCGTAGGAATATCTGTTCAACTTACTGTTATAAACTGGAAATTTAAGGCCTTATCGGCCACAGAAATTGAAATTGACTATGCCATTGTGATTAGCGTAATTTTTAGAGCCTACGGTGAATCTAATTGAAAATCGATTCAGATAAGATTAAATAGATTAAATTAATGAAATGGTGCTCTTATTTAATATTAAAGAAGTGTGACCAATGGAGCTTTTTAATAAGGGCATTAGACACTCTCATTCATGGGTTTGAGTTCAAAAATCAGATTTTGCACCTTAGAGTGAGAGAGGGTCGGCTAAAGAGAGAGAGGGTGAAGGAAATTGAAGTTTTGATCCTAAAGCTTGGGTAATTTGAAGACCAACTAAAGAATTAAGCATGAGTTTGGAAGATTAAAGCTCCTAGGTGAGTAATCAACCCTTAACTAATGAGTTTGAGTTCTGATTTTGTGAATTGAAGATTAAATGGTGAGTTAGATCATGAGTTGAGTTGTTTAAGTTAAGATTGAAGTCCATGTGTGCATGCATGTAGAGAATTCCTATGAAATTACATCATCTAGCATGTAATATGTGAATTATGAAAAATTGAGCCTTGAAGCAAACATGCAAACATGGTTTTGTTGATTTTCATGTTTATGAGCATCATTGGTGCTAATTGAAATGGAAATGAGGTCAAAAATTGACATGCACGTTTGATTATGGAAGATATGAAGCTTATATGAGGGTTGAGTGCATGAGCCTTAATTATACTAAAGGAATGTTGATTTATTTTGAAGAATTGGGCCATGATTTTGAGCAATTGACCTCATCTCGCTGTGTACTCATGATATATATTGTATTTGCATGTTTTGAAACCAAAATTGTGGGTTTTGGACCTTTGGAGGTCGAATTTGAGCTTAAGAACAAGTTCTGGAAAACCCAGAATTCTTGACGCCCGCTCAAGTGGGGGAACCGCCGCTCGAGCGTAAAATACGAGCTCCCAGAATATTTTGTAGACATTGATGTCCGCTCGAGCGGGGAAGTTTACGCTCGAGCGGGGAGCTATGTAGAATGACCTTCAACTCGAGCGTCTGAATTCACGCTCGAGCATAGAAACGAGGCAACCAGCACTTTTGCAGACCTTATGGGTCTGCTCAAGCGGGAAAGTCCACGCTCGAGTGGGGACCCCTGTTTCTGAAATTTTGTAAATGTGTTATGTATCTCGCCTAAAGAGGAATATGTGAATTAAGAATGGATTGAATTGTTTGTGACCCATTGTGTTCATGGAATGTGTAGGGTCGAGCTCCAGGGCAAATCATCCAGCCGATCACTGTGAGTAATATCTTAATAAAGATATTTTGAAATATGTTGTTTGTCCAATTACTTATTCCTCTATAAGTTTTATAAGTCTGTTGATTTGAATTGTGGACAAATGTTTGCTATACCAAATGGTTGGGCCTAAGGCCGTTCGCTATGAATGAATGGGCTAGAGGCCAATTTGACATGAAAGATAGAATGAATGGGCCAGAGGCCAGTTTGACATAAAAGATAGAATGAATGGGCCAAAGGCCAGTTCGACATGAATGAAAGAATGGCTGGGCCAAAGGCCAGTTCAACATGAATGAAAGAATGGTTGGGCCAAAGGCCAGTCTGATATGAATGAAAGAATGGATGGGTTGAAGGCCGTTTGGCATGAATGAAAGATAAATGGGCCAAAGGCCAGTTTGACATGAATGGATTGGGCCTGAGGCCATCCGATGTGTTTGGAACCACAACCACTTGATCTATATATATACTAGATAGAAATATGAATTCGCCCCAAGGCCGTTTGATGTATGTTGTTCTAATGTATCTTCTTTATTTGATATTATTCACTGGGCTTTCGCTCACGTTCATTCATGTGTTTGTACGTGAGCCAAGAGAGGTCCAAACCCAGCCTCAGTGAAGTTTGTGTGGAACAACCAAGGTTTTGAAGAGTCAGCCCTTACGTTTCATGCACGAGACTCGTATTCGCCCTTTTGCTATCTTGTTTTATTTTGTCATGCTGGCGAGGACTCTGGTTCATGATTGTATATAGTATGATTGGCTGACCTAGACTTGAATGATCTTGTATGTATAGAGTTTTGTGTTAGTACATATTTTGATGTGAGTTATTAACATGTATATGCATGGTTTGTTATGACGTGCCATATAAGCATAGCTCTAAGGACAAAGTTTTGAATTTGCTTCCGTTTGGCCCCTTTACTCCAATGAGTTACGTCTTGTTTGGTTTGAGATCGTAGGTAATCCCTTGATTACTGGCCGGTTATGTCCTTAACCCATAGGGGCGGGTTCGGGTCATGACAATGACCCAAGAGTGAGGCCAGAAATGTAATTAGTTCAGGTAAGGATGGTGAAGCCTCCAGTACCATCTCATCTAGGGTGGCAACGAGTGTCTCACCAAAAGTTCCCCATGAATGGTTGGAGACCAATGGGAGAAACAAGAACTCAGAAAATGAGAGAACAAAGAAGGTTCTATGCTATGATGCCTATAGCTGCAGGGGATAGGCCAGCTGGAAGGTAGGATCTAGTATGGACCAGAGATGGATTGGTTCCTGTTGTTGGAGGGAAGGGTGCAATTTCTAGAGCTCATCCAGTACAACCAGTTCAGATTTTGAAAAGGAAAATGGAGCCAGAAAAGGCAGATGACAAACCTATTGGGAAGCTTTCTGAGAAGGCTTTGTTGAGGCAGAAGCTAAAAGAGTTAAGAAGGATCTAATGTCTGATGAAGATGACAGTAATGAGAAAGATATGGCAATGAAGGATGATCAGGACCAGGAAATGGTCACTAATAGCATGAATGTTAATGAAGAAGTTAGAGAAGATGAAGCTAAATCAGATAGTTTTGGCGATGACTTTGGAGAGAAGTTGGCTTCCATTCACTTTGGTTCTTTACCTTCATCTAAGGAGTGCAATGTGATTATGGCCATTCCTCAGAGGTTTCAGGCCAAGCCAAATTAGCCAGATAAGTTAGCAGGTGATGTTGAAGATTTGACTCAACCAGCAGTTCAGATAGCAATGGTTGAGACACAAGCCAAGCCCCTGAGATCAATTGAGGTAGTTAGGTCTGTTGATGTAGAAAAGGTTGTGCTACAAAAGCTAGAAGACAAGATCATCAGGCATCTAAGGCCTTTATATGTCAGAGCTTATTTAGACGGGGTGCTAGTGGAAAGGGTGTTGGTTGATAATGGAGCCATTGTCAACATTGTTCCTTCTAAGACACTGAAAGCTATTGGGAAATCTGTCGATGACTTGCTTCCTACTGATGTGAACATAAGTAATTTTGCTAGTGGATCATCTGAGGAGAGGAGTAGTGGCTTTACAACTTTAGGTTGGTTCCAGGTCAATGGGAACAACTTTCTTTGTAATAGACTCCATTTCTAACTATAATGTGCTACTAGGTAGAGATTGGATACACCTTAATGGTTGTGTACCCTTTTCTCTACATCAAGCATTGATCTTCTTAACCAGTGGTGGTAAAGGAGAGATCGAAGTTTACTGGGCAGATGCAAATCCCTTTGTTGCTGATGTTAATAACGTAGAAGCTGTGTTGTATGATGAGGATTTGGGTCCAATTGTGATTGATGAGGAAGAAGTTAAGTCCCAGGGAAAAAGTTTGACAAATGAGGAGTTTAAGGCCTTTGTTGAGGAAGGTTTTAAGAAGATGGGCCAAGAATTGGCCAAACCAAGCCTGATGTAGAAGCGGAAAAGGTTTGTGATAGAAGAGATTGTTAAAGATCAAGAGTAATGCAAGTACAAGTGATAGAAGAAGACAAGCTGGATGAGATAGCTAATGTAATTAGATCTACTTTTTCTAGGCTCTTTTATTTCTTTTTAGAGAGTAAGCTTAGCCCTAAGTGTTTGTCCAATTGTTCTTGGGTAGAATGTGTTATGGACAGTAGCTGTCTGAGTTATAAGGAGGTACAACTGGAACATTTGATGACCTCAAGACAGATGTGCAGGATCCTTTGGAAGAATATAACTTAGGGAGTAAGGCTTGTAAGAGGCCCATCTATGTAAATGCTAAGATATCTAATGAATGTAAGAGCAAACTAGTTGGTTTGCTTTCTAAGTATATGGATTGCTTTGTATGGAATTATGAAGAAATGCCTGGATTAGATAGAGCATTGGTAGAGCATAGTCTCCCAATTAAAGGAAATTTTTTTCCCCATAAGCAACCACCAAGAAGGATGACTAATGAAGTCACCTTATTGGTCGATGAGGAAATTAAAAGTTTGCTCAAAGCAGGTTTTATTAGAACAAACAGGTATGTTGAGTGGTTGTCTAATATTATCGATGTTATGAAGAAAAATGGCAAGTTAAGAGTGTGTATAGACTTCAGAAATCTGAATCTAGCAACTCCCAAGGATGAATATCCTATATCGGTGGCTAACTTATTACTAGACTTAGCAGCCAAGAATAAGATTTTGTCTTTTATGGATGGTCATGCTGGGTATAATCAGATTTTTATTAACCTAGAGGATACACACAAAACAGCATTCAAGTGTCCTGGTGCTTTAGGGATTTGAATGGGTAGTCATGCCTTTTGGATTAAAAAATGCAGGAGCAAAATACTAGAGGGCAATGAATTTTATTCTCCATGATTTGATTGGAAAATATTTAGAAGTCTACATAGATGATGTAGCCATCAAATTTAACAGTTTTGATGAACATTTGGAACATTTGCAGCAGACATTTCAAAGAATGATAACTTACAAACTAAAAATGAATCCCCTAAAGTGTGCATTTAGGGTATCTGCTGGAAATATTTTGGGCTTTTTAGTACACCACAACGGGATAAAAGTGGATGCTAATACGACCAAAGCAATTTTAGAGGCAAAACCCCTAACCAACAAAAAAGAGCTGCAAAGTTTTCTTGGAAAGATTAATTTTTTGAGAAGGTTCATAGCCAATTTAGCTAAGAAAACTTTAGCATTTTCTCATTTGATAAAAATCAAGTTAGACCATGAATTTAAGTGGGAAGCATGCCATCAAGAAGCTTTTGATTTACTTAAAAAGTACTTGGAAAACCCTCCAGTGCTTATGCCCCAAATGGCAGGAAAGCCTTTGAAGTTGTACATCTCAACTTCTGACCTGTCAATTGGTTGTTTATTAGCTCAAGAAAATGATATGGGTCATGAACAAGCCATTTACTACTTAAGTAGATGGTTAAATGATGCCAAGACTAGGCATAACTCTATCAAAAAACTATGTTTGGCACTTTACTTTGCAGCCATTAAACTGAGGCATTATATGTTGCCCACAGAAGTGTTTATGATAGCACAAACATATGTTATTAAGTATATATTGTCTAAACCAATCTTGAGAGGAAGACAGGATAAATAGATCTTAGCATTAATTGAATAATGTCTCAAGTATGTGTCACAAAAAGTAGTCAAAGGGCAAGCCTTGGTTGATTTTCTGATAGAACACCCTTGCACATCTATCAATTTAGACTTATATGAAATCAATATGGTGGAGAATGAACCTTGGAAGTTGATGTTTGATGGTTCAAAGAGAGGTGAAGGAGTGGGAGCAGGTATTGTGTTGATTGCACCAAATGAGCAAATGTACCGATTTGCACATCAGTTGGAAGCACAACATATTCAGTCTTGTAATCAAGCTGAGTATGAAGCTTTGATAATTGGCCTAGAGTTGGCCATAGAGTTCAAAATTAGAAGTCTTCAAGCTTTTAGGGATTCATAATTGATCATTAAGCAAGTCTTGGGAGAATTCAAGTGTGTAATTGGTGCTTTGGAGGAGTATCTAACTGAGGTCAAATGGTTAATCAGTTTCTTTGACCATGTCATATTCACACACAGATATAGATTAGAGAATAAAGAGGCCAATGAGATGGCTCAAGCAGCTTCTGGGTTAAAAATACCTAAGGGAGCTCAGGAAAGGGTGATTCGTATTAAAAGAAGAAACTTTTCTGCACTTAGGAATAGGTGTAGAAATTTCTTGCCTATTTTTACTTTGGAAGAAACAGAGGAAGATTGAAGGTTTCCTTTAATAAGATACCTGTCGAATCCTAGTGAAGGGAGTAATAGGCAAGTAAGATATCCAGCCCTAAATTATATTGTCATAGGAGATGACTTATTTAGGAAGGCCCATGATGGTTTGACTTTACTTTGTATTGGTAAGTCGGACCAAATGAGAGCCAGGGCTGAAGCATACAAGGGAATCTGTGGAGCCCATTAGGTTGGTGATAAAATGAGATGGTTGATTAATAGGTATGGTTATTTTGGGCCATCCATTAGAAAAGATTGCATATTGTATGCAAAAGGATGTTAGAATTGCTAGAAGCATGGCAAAATTCAAAGAGTTCCAACCATAAATCTTCATTCAGTAGTGAAACCTTGGCCTTTCAGAGGATGGGCCATGGACTTGATAGGAAATTTTTTTCCAGCCTCTACAAACGCACATTCTTACTTATTGGTGGCTACTGATCACTTTATCAAATGGGTAGAAGTAGTACCTTTAAAAGTAGTGACACAGACTCAAGTGATTGAGTTCTTAAAAAATAACGTGATCCATAGGTTTGGTTTACCCCAATCCATTACTGTTGATCAAGGCACAGTGTTAAATGGGGATAAATTAAGGAGTTTGCCATAGAATATGGCATTTGGATTTTAAACTACTCACCCTATTATGCTTAGGCAAATAGGCAAGCTGAGGCAACAAACAAAATTATTAAGAACACTTTGGAAAGGATGATTGAGGATAATCCTAGGGATTGGCATAATCTCCTATCAGAAGGACTTTAGGCTTACAAAAACTCAAAAAGAAATAGCACAGGAAAAACTCCATATGAGTTAGTGTATAATGTTGTGTTGCCTCTAAAAGTAACAGTGAGGTCTAATCGATTGGCCATGCATTTGGATATTCCTATGGATGAATATGCAGAAGCCATGTTGATTGAGTTGCAAGATTTAGAGAAAAAAAGAATTATGGCCTTTAATCACTTGATAGCTCAGAAAAAGAAAGTTGAGAGAAGCTATAAAAAGAAAGTGAAAAGTAAGGTGTTTTCTAAAGGAGAATTAGTGTGGAAAACCATTTTACCAATTGGTTTAAAAAGCCTAGAATATGGCAAGTGGTCTCTAAACTGGGAAGGTCTATTTAAAATACATAAGGTCCTTAGAGGAGTAGCTTATCATCTTGCTTCTTTGGAAGGTGAACCACACATGAGAGTTATTAATGGTAAATACCTAAAGAAATACTGTCCAACTATGTGGGAATGGATGAATAAGTCATAAAAGCATAAGAGTGAGTATATGTGACAAGCCAAAAGAAACCAGAGTAACTAGAAGAGATCTTTCATTAAAGATTGTGTCAAGAGTACAATCAAAATAAATACATTTGGCCTAATCTTTTTGAAAGTACATTGAAAGTCTACTCCAGGCTTGAAGGGAAGTTTGGGGCCTAATTTTATTTTGCCTAAGTTTGGCTTGAGCCTGTTTAATGACAAGTGGGCCACCTTCTGCTTGAACAAGAAGAGTTGGAATTTGTTGAGAAAGGTTGGCTTGTTCTTGTTCAGCAATAGTTTTCTAAACCCTCACAAGTGCTAGTTGAGCTTCCAGTTGGGCCTCTTCTGCTGTGAGATTAGCAAGTTGAAGACTAAGGGCTTGTGATCTGGTGGAGGCTTCAGTCAGAGCAGTGACCACTTTTTTCATTTGATCCATTCGAGTTTCAGTAGTTTTTGGCTCAAAGTGAAATAAATTGATAGCTGTTAAGTATTGTGGAAGTTCTGAAAAGAAGTTCTGGAAAACTTGTACTTGGTCTGGATCAAAGAGCTAAGGCACTAGAGGTGTAATGGCCTCTAGGCAGTTAGTCAGAACTGTGGTGTGAAAAAGAGCCAGATCATCCAAGGGTTGGTCAAGTAAGTTGAAGAACTGATCCACCAATTTTTGATCTTCACCAGTCAATTGTTTTACTCTTTCTTCGACAGAAAGATTGTCAACAGTTTCTTATACAGTAGAAATGCCAAGAAGCCAGTCTTTAATTGTGGAAGGAGAGACAACTGCAGGCTGTAACAGTAATAAAGTGAAGTTAACAACTGGTGTAAATTTGAAAGAACAAAAAGTAACATACAATATAAAATAGAAACTAATTTGTGGTGTTGTTACTTCTGTCGAAGGTATGGTAGCAGCTTCAATGTGGGGAAGGATGGAGACAGTCATGGCCTCCTTTGAAGGATTTTAGGTTGGTGTGGTTTGCACCCTCATTTCAGCAGTCAGTGATATCTGGGAAAATATACTTGCAAGACAGTATAAAGAAAGAATATTAGGCCATATAGAAAATATGAGAAGGTAAGATGTATATTTATGAGAAAAGTATTACCTGTATTGGTAATGTCTGAGTAGTGGAAGTATTGGTGGCTAGGACATCTGGGTTTGTCTCTCTGATAGGACCATGAATGTGAGAAGTTTGAGCCCCCATGTCCATAGTGATTGGTTTGGGCAAGACCCCTTGACTCATAGGAATTTCAATATGGACTGGTAAAGGGGCATCTACTGGTGAAAGTGGATGGAATGAAGGTATTTGGATAGAGGTAGTGGGGGAGTGAACGGGTTGTGTAAGCACCTCATGAGGAGTTCTCATGTCACTTGAAGTTGATTCATTGTCCAATACCTTAGTGTCAACTCTGTCAGCCTCATTCTCTCGGTTGTAGAATGAAACATGATTGTTTTGATGAATGTTATCATTTTGTTCAGAGACAGGGTCATGGACAGGGGAACTTCTGTTGATAGGAGCTATATGGCTGTCAGGGTTATTGGTTAAGTCAATGAGAGACTCTTTGACATGGCCCAAGTCTGTTGGAGTTTTTCTGGTATGGCCAAGGATTTTTGATTCTTCTAAGGAGGAAGAGGCCACACCAGGGAAATTAATGACTTCATTGGTTCCATGGCGCAGCCCTCTGAGAGGGATGGCCATTAAGCCTCCTAAAGCTATTCCCTGAGGAATATCAGACAGAATTTGGGCTAGTTTAGGAGCCAATTCTCTTAGGCCTACTCTCTCTTGACTAATTTGTTCTTCATGATAGGGATGTTGATGTTTTGGGTTTGGTTGAGGAGAGGTTAGTTTGGTCTGGTCTGCAAGCATAGAAAGGATTAATCTAAGTTTCAGGAAACTCATCATTCTCAGGCAAATAAATAGGTAGATTGGTCAGGGTTTTAGGCAATTCCTCATGAGAAAAAGGAGATGCAGCTGGAGAGAGAAGTCTTCTCCTCTTATATGTCTGAAAGTATATCTAAAAGAGAGAAAGGAATGTGGAATAGAGTGTCAGTACATTAAACATAATGTGTAGTGGTTTAACAAAGGCTTGAGTAAAAATTATACCATTATAGGAAGGGAGGAAGAACTGCTAGAAGAGGAAGAGGCTGGTGCAGCAAGAGTAGTGGCTTGAGGAAGAACTGGTTGTTCTTGTTTTCTTTTTGACCTCCTCTCAAGGGCTGCACCTCCCTCCAATCGTGGCTGAGAGGACAGAATATCCTGAATTTTCTCTTGTCTATTCTTAGTCCTTCTTTCA